CATTATTCTCGTCACTTTTCCTTCAAGAGTAACATTTTCACGTTGTTGGTGATTGTGGGAGTCAGCGATATGTTAAGGTTCTTCATGGGCATTAGAGGTTGGTCCCTTCCGAGGACATTAGGAGGTCTTGCTGGAGGCTATTTCGAAGAACTTTGAGTGTTTCGTATAACGATAATACATTATTATAAATATTATTATTACATAATAATGCGGTTGGAATTTCTGTCGTTGGAAAATCCTTTTGTCTCTGGGAATAGACTTTGAGAATGTCGAAGGTCCCACGGAGGGGCCGCGCCGGTGAGGCCGATTTCTTCCGATTGCGCGCACCTTTCCTTTGTCTCATTTCCTTTATCTTCTCTTCTTTTTGTTAATAGAGTTAGTCGTTTTTCAAATTATAAATTGAATTGAATTTAATATTCAATTGAATTTAATATTCAATTATATATTAAATATTACGCAGAAATTTTGTTTCTGGGAAGGGGGTGGGATAAAATCCAATTTTTTTTGTAGGGTGGGGCAAAAGCCATTTTTTTCCGTTCAGGGAGGGGGACAAGTTTAATTTTATCCAAAAGACTGTTAATACTGGTGAAATTCTGAGAGTGATGCGGACGTGCTTGCGAGGACTTTTGGTCCACGTGATTCGTCCCAATTTCGTCCACCGTTCGCTTTCATTTCACTTGCAAATCCCGGCTGGTTCGCTTTTCGACCTATCTGCTTGTCTTATCTTGCGCGCTTTAATTCAAATTGGCCCGGCTAACGCGATCCCTCGAAACTTGCTTAGTGTTGGTCCCTCGTCGATACTAGTTCAGGTCGCGGCGACGACACACGTTCCCCCCCCCCCCCCACCCCCCCCCATTCTCCGTTATCTGCTCATTTTTAATGTTCCGCGGGCGTCCCTCTTATCGTATCCGTTTCGAGGCGTTTCGTGTACAGTAACAGCCAGTAAACCGTGAAACATTCGTGTTGCATTCGTTCCAAGTCGAAACGAACTCCATCTCCGTGGACAGTCGAGAGAAATACAAAGTGTCCCGAAATAGATGTAAGTCCTTGAAAGGAGTGATTCCTGGGGTGATTTGAAACAACTTTTTCCTTAGCGAAAAAGTTCTCCGAGGCTTTGTTAACGAGATATTAACGAAAAACCCCGACCAATCAGAGCGCGAGTAGCGTAGTAACGTTGGCTACGCAGTTCCGCTGGAGATCAGCCTGCAGACTCGCGCTCTGATTGGTCGGAGATTTTCGGTAATATCTCGTTAACAAAGCCTCGGAGAATTTTTCCGCTAAGGAAAATGTGGTTTCAAATCACCCCAGGAATCACTCCATTCAAGGATTTACAACTATTATGGGATACCCTGTATAGTAAGTAGTAACGAAAAATTGGTTCTGATTCGCAAAGACAATTGGTCGAGGGCACCGATGTTTTCGGATTATACGTACGTTTGTCACTCAGTTGCTTCCCGCCACGCAGCATTCGATACTTCTCGAGAATCGAACGATTGCCTGGTGCGCGACAGTTCACGTCCTTTGTACGTGATGTCGACGGATTCGAATTCCAGTTGTGACGGAAAGAAGGTAGTCTGAAAACTTTGCTGGATTATCCATTCAAATATAACCTCCTCGATTCGACTTTTCCGGTATGAATTTTCAGTTCTCGATAGGCGGGTCGATAGTCAAGTCGTGCGTCTTTGCGAACGGAAACGAGCGAATAAAATGTGTAACGGCCAGAGGCGCCACGCTGTTCGTGGAGACTGGGATTCAAGAACAGTTTCCGTGGGGGCGAGACAGAGCGATACAAAAGTTATTACCCGGGAACAATTTTCGAAACGGCATGGACGAACAAGTGGTACACCGGTATCGGGAGTAATCTCGGGATAGCACAATGCCCTGCAAAACAATGGGTATATCGGTGAAACGAGCCCGAGTCTGACGTCGCTGCTGCGAAACAGCCACCGCTGCGAGGAGGAAAGGTAATCTCCTCTGCGGCAGAACCAAGCCGAATCCACCTCGAATTTCATATCGGACAAAAGGGTCTTCCTTTCGAATGCATTAACTCGCCCCGATGTATCGAGGAGTTTCTAGGTAAGCATAGAAGATTAATGGTTGAGTACTCACACTCGTTACCCTCGAAAGAAATCTCGGATGGGGCAAAGATGAATCACAAACTGTAGGGTTGAGATGTGTTTTTGTTGAAGCACCGAAGAGAACTTTTAGATACAAATACTAAGTTCAATACACGTTACATATATAGAATAATACATATTCAATCGATCAGAGTAGATTAATCGTCTTTTATGGCGGTCGATAAGTTATCGATACAGGATCGGTAATTGTCGACAGCGCCTCTAGTCGCTGCTGTTGGCAGCCATGACTGTTTCTCCCGCGCAAATGACGCGAGCGATTCGATGCGACAACAGAACCGTGTAAATGCAACGCAAAACGATAGAAAACGTATGAGTAATTGGTGTACAGAGGCATCGAACAGGTTGCCAGCTTTGCCGTGGACTCGATAATTCGAAGGTATCGCGTCAATTTTCAACAATCGGACCGATTTAATTTTAGCCTAGAAATAGCGGTGCTCGCCGCTGGTATTTCTGGAGTTGGATCGATTCCGAGTGCTTCCGCTCGAAAAACACGACTAACCTCGGTAATTCCTGGTGAACGGACGTTACGTCACCTGTTAACAATGGGATTCAATTGTTCGGAAAGCCTGTAAGTGCCATCGATTGATTATTATTCGAAAAATGTTGCCCAATGGCGTTCCTAGGTAGATCTGTGTGTATTGTTGTGGTTGTTAGAGTGATTCGGTGAAAATTGTGACAACGATTAACACACAACGCACTTGTTAGTGAACCTTTGTTGTTTGAAGATCAGAAATTTATGTGTCGTCGATGAAGAATTCTAGTGTAGCTAGAGGAGATACTGAAATCTGTCGATTCTAAGAACAGTGTTGTCAATTTTGTCGAAGTATCAGTTTCCGTTATCTGTTTCGAAATTCGATCACGTGACTCTATCCGCCATGTTAGATACGAACTGCGTGTGGTTTCCTCTTCGTTGCAAGACTTTTCTGTCGATTTTTAACAGTGTTAACAGTGAGCACGTTAATATTCGCGTTACGTAGTCGTGTTGCTACTGGTACTATCTGAATTTAAAGTAAACTGAATCACTGAAAATTAGCATTTCCCCCAGCTTGGCACGACCCACTACCCGCAGCATGGAAACAAAATTTCATCTTGCCCGTTGGCAAAATATAGTGATCTGTTGCGAGATAGGGACCACTGTCGCCCCATTCACCAACAGAATTAACTCAAACTTGTGTATACTGTATAGTATACGGTATATACTGATACCTACAGAGAAACGTAGCGTAGAAAAGCATCTCGTGTTGAATGCCTGTTACTGTATACCTGCACATCGAAAAGGTGTCCTAACATTCGTCCTTAGATTAACCAAAGATAGTCCGGTGAAACCTTGTGTAATTTTTCCCCATTATACACAGTCCAATTACCAACATCGTGATGATGAACATTATCCTGTCGACAGACAATCTTGATCTTTCGTTTACATACGGTCGTATAAATCTTACCTTGTGTGGCTTGCCTTTCGGTATTCGCTTCGAAACTTAACAATCTCTCCACACAGGCCATTCGGTATCCCATTTAACCTAATATATATATCTTGAACATACATATACAGGGTGTTAATTTTATCTCGAGCACCTACATTATTTCCGCTACTATTGAAAGTAAGAAAAAATGACTAAATAAGATGTACATGGGTGTAAGGTGTGCATCCGATGGTGCTCGAGTTAAAATTATCACCCTGTATAAATCGACAGCCATCGAGATTAATAACCATTAATCTCTTTCAATTCCAGGGTCTCCATTGGTGCCTCTGAAGCGAATCTTACCAACCGTGTTCGAAGCACACACTAATCCACGCATCGCTCCTCATTGAACAAGGATTCTCTATCAGATCCAGTTGCGATCTAATCGGGCGCGACAGTATCCAGCGCACGGTAACTCGGTCGCGAGGCAAGCATGTGATCGAGAACGACCAAGTAGACGGGTTCCCCTCGCTAAGGGATGTTCTCCTCCGCGGGCACCAGCTGCACCGACGCCGAGGAGGACGCCGAGGATGTGGAGAACGACGTGGCAGGTACCACCGCGGAGTCGTCTAATTACTTGCCGTCGGGTATCCGTGATAACGCGCGCGATCACCTGGAAGGACTGCGGTTAGATGGGCCATCGATTGCGCGTCCACCAGCCGAGGACACTTCCGCGAGCCCATCGACGTCGTCGTCGTCGTGGTCGATGCCTCGATAAATCTGGAACGTCGCCGTCCTCCTCGTTCCCCTGGTCGTTGTTCCCCTGCTCGTCGTTTAGTCGCACGGCGACCTCCGTTCGCCGGAAACCGGAGGACATCTCGTCGAGGGTATCGCCCGTTGCATGGGAAGCACCGAAGGAGACCAGGGAGATTGAACGTGGTTCAAGCTGGAGGAGGAGTACCGGAACAGTTTGTCCTCGGACGGGCCTAGTCGGTGGTGGAGTCGACGAACTCGCGTTCAGGTGACGATAAACGTAGCCTGATCGGTGCGAGCTGGTATAATCCAAAGGTGTGCGATCTAGAGGTGGAAGCATACCATTTCCTGTACGCGAAAGAGGCGTCTGATTCGCGCTTATCCCGCTCCCAACGGCTGGATATCGTTATTCTGTATTATAATACGTTCTAGGAGGAGCCGTGTGACTAGAGGAAGCCGGCCACATCGAAGATTCGTAGGACACCCTCGCGTGTGTAAGTGCTCGCGGAGGATTGCTCGACCGTGTTCCGGGACTTATTGGATGATCGTGGTGACGACGGGCCTCTTTGGGGGAGTTTCTGGGACTCGGTGGTGACTCGGACCCGTTCACGATGGTGAACTACCATCGAGTCATGACATTCAGTTAGTGTAGTGTGTCGCCCGCGGTGTTCATCGCAGTCGTCCAACGAGAGAGGATAAAGAGAGAGAGAAAGAGTGGGAGAGAGTGTGTGTGTGTGTGTGTGTGTGTGTTGACCGAGGATTTGAGAGATGCGGCGAGGAAGACAACAACAGCCCGTGATCGTCGTAGCCAGAGGCTGGCCTAGGTCCTGATAGCCGCAGCGACCAGGATCCGGGATCATTCACGGGAGAAAGGATGCCAGGGGGGCGCAGGGGCCTGGTCGCCCCGCAAAACACATTCTTGGAGAACATCATACGACGGAGCAGCAGTCAACGTGAGTACATACGATGCTTTGATTGGTTTCGTTTTCCGATGAATCGATGATTCGCCAGCGAACACAATGTCGGGTTCTCGGTTTGGAATCAGCGGACTCGACGGTATGTATAGGGGAAGACTAGTGGAGGAGAACAGAGTGGGTGGGGGGGGGGCAGAGGGGGGGGAAAGACAGTGGTTCGCCAGGAAAGTATGCTTCTGTAGGAATTCACGACGTTTCTAGTGCGTGCTCTTTCGTGTTCTCTCCTCACCCCCACCCCTCTTTCTCTGTCTCTCTTTCCCACGGATATAGGTCAAACTAATAACTTTACGTAACCGCGGTCAGCATGCAGAGATAAAAGTTGGTCCGCCGCGCGCGAGTAACAAGATTACCTCACGATGACCATGATAGATTCTACTTGTTAGTCGGAGTACGAGCTTCGTCTCGGCTGGGGGTGTTTTTTTTTTCTTTCTTTTTTTTTTTTTTTGTTGTAAGGAAAAACGAGGATCGTGCCGCAGGCGTATCATATACACAAACCCTCGTCTATCTCCGTCCTCTATCCATTCTAACGGTCGGCACGGGGGCCGGGAGGGGGAGGCATATTTAATTAATGTAATCGGATGAGGTGGGTAATTGGCGACATTGGGCCACCTTTTTCTCGCGTCGTTTGTTTGGATTCGTGGGCGTGCGAGAGAGAAGTAGCGACGCGAAACGCGTTAATTGGGGATGAGTTAAGGGGCCAGCAGAGCCAGGCGAGCCTCTGCTCGTGATTGCTCGATATGCTCGGCCGCGGGGAAAATCGTTCGATAAAAAGTCGGCCCTCTTCCCTCCGTTGCACCTCTCCGGTGTCGGTGAGCCGTGTCGCTGAAACATAACGCTTTAACTCGCGATATACTTCAGTTTAACCGTTAAGTCTGTATCTACGTACATCGCGCGGGCTTCCTTGGATCTCTTGATCGTGTTAGATCTCGCCCGGCTAAACCTTGGGTAAACTTTCTTCCCGACTTTCGATCTACCTCCGTGGGTGGGCAATTCCTATAAGTTATAACGATAAATACATACTCTATTTGCCGGTTTTCAGTCAATAATTGATTCTGGGGGCCACGAATTAATCTGTACGCCTGATACATGACTGATATTCGTCCAGGACGCGTAAAGGTACAACGAAAGTTAGCAGAAAGGAACCCAAAACATGTTCCTTCTGAATATGTATAGTCTATGTACTACCTTTTCATTCAACTTTGGTCGTAGTACATACATTCATCGATATTATTTCTTAATAAACATCAGAATCTTCAAATTACAAAAGATCCCTGAAATCATTTCGGATAGGAAGTATTTATAAAAATTCGTAGAACATATCGCAGATCTTTCCCATCGTATAAGTGCCCAGACACTTTTTGACGGTAGTGTACATTCTGATGGTAAACACTATCGGGGATTCTTAGCACAGTCGACTACTGAAGAGGGCTCGAGAGCCAATCGACGCATTCGAACATCGATTGTCAAAAAAAAAAGAAAAACATCGACGCCTGCGGGGCGTTCACTAAGTGCCACTCCGGAGACAGGGGTCAAAGTGTCCTCACCGGATTCTCTGATCCACCGCGCGTTAAGCAAAAATGGGCGTAGGAGCATCCGGTCCTGGTCGTATCGTCGGTCAAAGGTCACCGACGGCGATGAATAGGCTCGTTGTGTGTGTGTGAAAGGGTTAAACCGAGTGTGTGGAAGCCGCCGGCATTGACCCATTAACGCGAATGCCACGGATTCCCAAGATCCGGTACCACCACCCCCGGAGAACGAACGCGCCCGTGTGTGTTCACGCCACCTCGATCATACAAGCGCAGGGAGGGGGGTGGGGCGTTTGGATAATCGTTTACGAACAGGAGGGGATAATTTATTCCGGTTGGTCTCTGCGGCGTGCGGTTGCCTGGCAGCGAGTTTCAGGAGCATTCCGATCCTTCCGTTCCTATCCGTTAATAGTAACTGTTTACCGGAGAAATATTGATAGTGATCGTTTGTTGGGAGATTAATTTAATAATTACCGATACGGGGATGTTGTTTTAGCTTCCCGAAAGCGTTCTGGTGGGTACAGAAATTTTCGTGTGTTCGTCTTATCGTATAATTCGCCCCTGAGTTATTAAATACAGTGTTGCGTTGATTATTGTCAAGAACTCCGGTCCGCCTCGTGACAAGCATCGAATAGGAGAAATGCTTCGGGCATCAAAAACAGGAGTATATCAGCAACTTTATATACGCAGCGAACGTGTTAAGCCTTCCACTTTTTACACCGACTGGGAATCCTCTTATCTATCTTCAGCTTTCTTGTTACCGTGGAGCAACTTCCGGAATCGGCGAATCCATGCACGCTCCGCGCATTCTCTTTTCGGTCGACTGGCAAAAATCCTGATTACCTCGGGGAGCCAGGACCTTGGCCAAAGATAGTAAAACGCCTGCCTATCCCTGATAGGTATTGTAAACCACTCGAGATACCGGGAATGAGAATGGAAGAAGAAGCCTCTCTGTCTGTCGACGACGTTTTCCAGTTTTTTGGAAAAAAAAGAATTAAAAATTGATGAGAAACAGTTAAGATAAGCTGTAGTAACGAATCCATCGGGGGGAGGGGGTTGTTTAAAATTCCAGCGGGCATTGACGAAGGGGGTTAACAAGATTCTAAGAAACGAGCAGCAGCCAGGGTTCAGAAAGCTCCGCCCCCTGGCTTCGGGTGCTCTGTGATATTCCATTCAGCCACTCTCCGTGCACAGGGCCGTTCCTGGGTTGTTGGCCATCTGGGTGAAAAAACAGTATCGCCGCCTTTATTAATTTAATATCATTCAATTAAGAATCTAATATGCAGTGTTTATAGAAATAAAAAATATAAAAAATTTTTAATTAATATCAATGAATTTAATCACATAAATATAGCTAAATGACATATGCTGTCTTGGGCTGTCCATAAAGATAGTTCATTCTTGTATACGAGTAGTGTTACAAAGATTACACATAAAACTAATTTCATTGAATTCTGTTTGTCTAACATTTTCGTAATCACAAAAAAAGGTTTGATTATTATTCTTACCAGCCAAAATTTGTTTGGCCGTCCATGAGCGGGGGCACCTTTTGCACCCCCGCTAGGAACGGCCCTGTCCGCGCGTCTTGGCTTCCGACGTTTTCGATCTTCCGGAAACTTCGGAACATTCCCTGGAGCTCTCCTGCTAAGCATCCACCCACCCACTCGACATCCAACTTCTCCGACCTATCCACGTGAATTTTGGAACGTCTCGCGACTCCCAGGAGCTACTACCGTGAAACTCTGAACACCACCCTAAGTCATCCGCTTCGCAAAGGGCCGTCGAAATTTTCTTTAGTTTCTTTTAGGGACTTCTACCGGAACGTAAAATACCTGTATTATACCGGTATTTTCGGTTGAACCTTCGCCCTATATAACCTTACCCTTATAGAAATCGAAAACATATCGGTATTTATTTCGGTGTTCGGTAATATATCGGTTTAAGTCCCTAGTTTCCTTCCAGTACTGGTTGAAAGTTCCAACCGATCAATCGACAAATGGTCACCGTGTAATTGGGTCGATTTAACGTTTTCATGAATCACCTGTCGAATTCACGGAACATCCAACTCGCGGCAACATAAATTCGATGCATTTTTCACGAGCCTCCACGGTCGCGCGACGCAACTGTCGTGTGATTTTACCGACTGCGAAATGTACGTGTCGCGATTCACGGCAATCGACGTTCCACTGCTCGTCGACGGCTCCTCTCTGTGTATAAGATAGGCGACACTTGACAAACAGACGCGTTCGGGGTATAGAAGTGAGAAAGTCTCGATCTCGAGTCGCGACGCGTCCCCTCGAAGCTTTCCTGGAATGCTCGATCCTCCGCCAGTTGTCTCCGTTCTGTTGTCTTCTTCCCAGCTGCGGCGACTGTTACACTATTAGCTACCTTCGAGGGCTAGTATTATAATAATATCGATAGAAATAATGTTTACCTTAATCTTCGGCGAGATCGATTGTTTTCGAACTCGGACCAGAAGAGTTCTTCGAGACCAAAGATCTCTACAGGGTGGTACTCGCCAAATGATGAAAAAAAAGTCCTGATATACATGGGTCGAAAAATTAATAGTTTCGAAGTTATAAACAATTTTCGGAAATAATGCTCTATTTCACTATTATTTTTTTACCATCAAACTGAAAACGTCCGATTCGTCTCGGTCTACCTTATTCGTCAGACTGTGGCGGCTGCTGGATTCAAACGTGCCGCGGCGAACGAATTAACTACCCCCTCCTCTCCCAAGGCGACAGACTTGAAGAGTTGTCCCGCAGTCACGTACCGTGGAACGATTCGCGGCGCACAGTTTCGTCGTCCTTGCGCGGAAACGCTTGTTTAAAAGATCGCGAACGAAACCACGTGTTTTTACCGCGAAGTCGGCGAGAACCGAGCAGAGAAACGGTGGACACTAACTTCCCTTCTCCCGTCGCGTACGACCATTAACCCCTTAACAGGCTCGTAAAACCGCGCGAGAGCGAGGCTGGTCGAGAAAACTCGTAATCTTTTTGCGCTGTTAATTACGCGACGGTGTAATGGAGACGAGTGTTAAGAGGGAGAAAGAGTAGTATCTAACGTGGTCGGCCTCCGTTACTTTGAAGTCAGAAGCGTTTATGCACTCGAGACAGAACGCTCTGTCGTTTCGTCGAGTGGCGTCCTTACCGATAACGAAACATTTCCCGTGTGAACGTCAGCGTTTAGCTTGTTAACCAAAGCTCTGGAATTAATTATCCTCTCCGGGGTTGTTGATAATATTGGATTCTTCGAGTCGTGTGTAATATTTTTAAGGGTAACAATTTGCGCAAGACTGTAAGCTCGGGGCTTATTTTGTTACACTTTTAGGGGTTGTACAGTGGGAATGTTCGATTCCTCAGAAGATCGAGGGATGATTGCGAAAAAATGTGGAATAAATGTTTCTGATTCGAGACTTCGTTTTGGAGAAGATCGATTTTGAAAGTCTGT